TTGGTGGATAGTTGAGTAAATTGTGCTCATTATACACAGAATTTGGGAATCTTAGGGGGTTGGAAGGTGCCTCAGAGACTATTAAGTCCAACTCATATCTGATAGGGAATCATCTTTTTTTTTTTTTTTTTAAGGCAATTGGGGTTAAGTGACTTGCCCAGGGTCACACAGCTACTAAGTGTCAAGTGTTTGGTCTGAGGCCGGATTTGAACTCAGGTCCTCCTGACTTCAGGGCCGGTGCTCCATCCACTGTGCCACCTAGCTGCCCCGATAGGGAACCATCTTTACAAAACCTCACACAAATGGTTGTCCGTCCACCCATCCATCCATCCTTCACTTCAGTAACTCTAGTGGGAACTTGTCATGTCTAAAAGCAAGCCATTGCATTCTGGGACAGTCCTACTTAGGGAGTTTTTTCTTACTCATCAGGTCTAAATCTGCCTCCCTGCAAATTCTGTCCTCTAGAATCAAGCAAAACAAAGTCAATTAGACACTTGAAGGCAGCTGTCCTTTTTTCTCTAAGTCTTTTATTCTCTAGGTTAAACATTTATATTTACTTTAATCGAGATTTATATGATATTATCTCCAATGTCAATGCTTATCTTTACCAACTCTTCTTTGGTGTTTCTAATAAATTATCCTGACATACTGTGCATTGTAGTTTATATAATGTGTTTGTGTCTTAGGTCTCAGATAGACTGTAAAGTCCATGACAGTGGACACTAGGTCTTTTTTTTTAATTAAATTTTTTTTTTTCAATTTTCAACATTTTTCTCCTTACCTTTCCACCCACTCCAATGGAAAAAAAAGAAAACAAAACCCTTGTGACAAATACACATAGTCAAGGAAAGTAAATTCCTATATTGGTCATGTTCTAAAATGTATGGATCATTCTGCACATTTAGTGTGTCTTCACTCTGTCAGGATGTATGGGTAGCATTCTGTATCATTGGTCCTCTGGAATCATGGTTGTTCTTTACATTAAACAGAGTTCTTAATCTTTCACAATTGTTCATTTTACAGTGTTGTTGTTATGGTATAATTTATTCTCCTGGTTTCTGCTCACTTCACTCTACATCAATTCATGTCTTCCCAGATTTCTCTCAAATGGTCTCTTTTATAATTTCTTACAATATAATAGTATTCCATTCTATTACTATACCGTAATTTGATTAGACATCCTGTAATTAATGAGCATCCCTTTAGTTTCCAGTTCTTTGACACTGGAAAAAGAGTTACCCTAAATCTTTTCTCTCTTTTTTGGTCTCTTTTGGGGTATAGGGTTAGTAGTGGTATTGTTACGTATAAGGTTATTCATAGTTTAGTAACTTTTGGGGCCAGAGTTCCAAATTGTTTTCCAGAACAGGTAGACTAATTCATAATTCCTTCAATAGTGCAGCAATGTGCCTGTTTTCCTGAAGTCCTTCCAACATTTGTCATTTTTTTTTGGGGGGGGTCAGCTTAGCCAATCTGATGGATGTGATGTGAAAACTCAGAATTGCTTTCATTTTCATTTCTCTAGTTATTAGTAGTTTGGAACATTTAAAAATATGGCTATAGATAATTTGGATTTCTTTTCTTGAGAAATGCTTTTTCATATCCTTTGTCCATTTATCAATTGGGATTAGTTTTTATTTTCATAAATTTTGAATCATTCCTTTAATATCTTTGAAATGACTTTTTTATCTGAGAAACTTGATGCAAAGATTCCCCCCCCCAAGTTAACTCTTTACCTTTTAATCTTAACTACATTAGATTTGTTTGTGCAAAAATTTTAATTTTATGTAATCAAAGTTGTCCATTTTATTTTATTTTTTTTAGGCAATTGGGGTTAAGTGACTTGCCCAGGGTAACACAGCTAGTAAGTGTCAAGTGTTTGGTCTGAGGCCGGATTTGAAGTCAGGTCCTCCTGACTTGAGGGCTGGTGCTCCATCCACTGCACCACCCAGCTGCCCCAAAAGTTGTCCTTTTTATCTTTTGTGATCTCTATTCATTTTTTGGTTGTGATTTTTTTTCTCTTGTCCATAGTTCTGAAAGGTAATTTCTTTCTTGTTCCTTTAATTTGTTTATGATAGGACCTTTTATATTTAGGTCATGTATTCATTTGGGGTTTACTTGGTATATGATATAAGTTAGTGGTCTAAATTTCTGCCAGATAGGGGTCCAGTTTTTCCCACAGATTTTTGCCTGTAACTGGGACCTTTGGACCAGGCCTTATCTAAACTTTGTACCTCCTCCAGTAGTTGTCCAGTGACAAACCAGGGAATACATTACTAGAGGAACTGAATATTATTAATCTTGACATTCTCACCATAAATGAAACCAGAAGACAAAATACAGAAGAACTTAAATGGAAGAATGGTTTGGTTTTATTGTACATCCAATGACCACAAGAAATATTGTGTCATGAGAAATTTGGCTGTCCTGTACTGCAGTGCTCATGGTAAGTATTTGCCAAAAATCCACCATAAAAATAATTATACCCTATGTATCAACATCTTTTGTGGAGGCTGTAGAAATATTTGATAAGACCTTCCACATTAAATCAACACATACTTTGATGAATATTACATTACAGATAGAGGGCCCGCCTCAGGTTGAGAAGATCTGAGTTCAAATCCTGCTTTTGTTACAGTCAGACCACATGAGCCTTGGCACATCAATTCACCTCTCAATGTCCCAGACACCTCTCTAAGACAATAAGTTGAAAAAGAGTTGCTCATTGCATTGGTAGGAGTTTTTTCTCCATGACTTCCCTACACAGGTGAAATCATAGGTCTGGTCCCCTCCTCTTCCCATCAGTTTTTGATTTCAAAGCAAAGATGGGTATAGGTGAGGATGATGAAAAAAAAAAGATGGAAAATATAGTTCAGTGGTAAGGAATGAAAGAAACCAAAGACTTGTAAACTATACCCTTTAACTCTATAAGTCATGAATACTTTTTTTTTAAAGACAAGAATTGGAAGATGTTAGATGTGGTAAGCACCAAAAAATGTCACAAAAAGGAAATTGATTTTACATTTTAACTGATTAGACATGATTCATTATGAAAGTGGGAGTCATTTCTGAATCAGCTGTCAGTATATAGTCAGACCACCAACTTGTCTGAGCAAAGACCAAAACAATGAGAACATATAGAAAAAAATTAAAAATGAAAAACAGACATGCAGTTCAAACAACTCTTTCCTGGCCTAAGCAAGTTAATGCTGATAAAAAATGGAATGTGGGGAGAAGAAAGCATAGTGAAACTAATTATAATAATTTTATAGAGAAGTTTAAGTAATAGAAGTCAATTACTATAATGAGGAGATTCCCCCCAAACTAAAATCTATTTTAGACTGCAAACACCTAACTTACTTGTTAGGGGGAGAAATATATAGTTTGCTGCTGTTCAGTTGTTTTTCAATGGTTTCTGATTCTTCATGACCCTGTTTTTTTTGTTTTTTGTTTTTGCAAAGATACTGGAGTGGTTTGCCATTTCCTTCTCCAGCTCATTTTACAGATGAAGAAACTGAGGTAAACAAGGTTAAGTGAATTGCCCAGGGTCACACTGTATGAGGCCAGATTTGAACCCAAGAAGATGAGTCTTCTTGACTTTAAACACTCTCTCCACTGTATCACCTAGCTGGCCTAGTAGCCGAAGGCAATAATAATATATAATATGATATAATATGATATGATATGATATGATATAAAATAACATAACATAATATGATATAATATAATATAATATAATCACATTTATAGATTTTTATGAAGGATGACAGAAGATGCTACACTGGGAGTGAAATGGGATTAGATGACCTTAAAGATTCCTTCCAAGTCCCAGATTCTGTGACCCAGATCTACTAAACTATAATCTTCATTCAATTTCATAAGATGATTGCTTTAGAGATGGGAGATGCCTGAGAAGTCATCTAGTTCAACCTCTCTCTTCTCCATTTCGCAGATGAGGAAATTGAGGCCAGAATGGTGTAATAAGTTGCTTAATGTGACAGAACTGAGATTTGTATAGATGGATCCTCTAATGCCTTGGGTCATTTTGGGAATGGGTCTAGGACAGCCATTCTTCATATCTTTCCTGGATGTCCTTATAACTCTCTGGCCTTTGCCACAATAACTCAGCAGACCTTCTTGCCCCAGAACTTCCCTCAGCACCTGGGGCCAGAATATCCCTTTGTCATGATGAACACCCTTCTCTCTCATAGTGGGTTCTTTCAAGGAACCTCCATTTTGGGGAGAGGCCCAGGTCAGTCATGTTGCATTCTCCTACTGGCTATGTTTCTTATTCTCTGGACTTCATCAACATGCCTCCAAACTCAATGATTCTCCTTCTGTTTTACAGGTAACTTTTCTGCCCCCTCTTCCCACTCCCCTTTCAGACCTCTTTTCACTTGCTATCTTCCCCTATTAGAATGTAAGCTCCTTGAGGGCAGGGACTATCTTTCCTTTTTCTTACATTTTTAACCCCAGCGCATATAGTGAGCACTTAATGAATGCATCTTGCCCGACCTCCTACCTGTCTTGTATCTCGTAGAACTGTTGAGACTCATCGCATTCTGTGAGTGTACTTTTCTGTTCTTTTTCTCTGACAACCACTCAAGATTTTTTAAGATGTTGAGAGGTTTAGTAAGAGATATTCCCCTTGAGAACACTTCATTTCAATGCCTGGATGTGTCTTGCAGCCTGGGGTATTGCTCGGCCACATAAATGTAATAATTGGCGGTAAGTGGATTGACCCTTAAGTATAGACATGCTCATGAAGTTGAAGGGAGACACCCCGTTCTCTGGAAGCTGGGGCTAAAGATACCTGGTCTGTGTGCAAGAAGGACTGTACGCTTGATTGATGTATTGGGTGGTGGTCGGGGGAGGGACTAGGAATTCTTTTTTTCCCAATTTCATTTCCAAACCTTGTTGCATCATGTAGCCCGGATGACTTTCTAGCCTCTCCCTGCCTCTGTCTGACCCATTCCTTCCACACCTCAATCTTGATGGCACGAATAGTCTCCTAGAAGGTTCAGGAGTCCGCTGAGGCGTCCCTAGCCTTCTAGAGCTGCTTGGCTCAGGCTGTCTACTCTGGTAAGGCAAACCTGCTCCCCAGCCCTTCCCCACACCTTACTTTCATCCATTTCTGAAGTTCACAAGCTTCTTCTGTTGCCCCTTCCCTTTCTTTACCCTCCCCCTTTTCCATTCCTTTTCTTTTCCCTTCTCCTTTTTTCTCCTCCCCTTTTCCCTTTCTCCCTCTCCTACTGTTCCTTGCCAGATGCCTTATCTGATTCCCATTCACCCCTGTCTCTGCTTACTCCATTGTCTTCTCATCTCATCCCACCCTTAACTGATGTCCCAAATTGCCTGACTGCCCCTAGTTCTGTCTCTTTTCTCTGTCTGGGTATGTGGGGTTCCATTTCCGCTTTTAGGAAAGAAGCTCCCTGAGGTCAGCTCCCATGTCTCCTCTTTCCTCTGGAAGATAGGGTTCTGCTCATGACTGGGGAATGATTGACTCTGGGTGTGTTTTAGGACAGGTCAGTGTGAGGTGGTGGTGACGGGGAAGGGAGTGACAGACACAGTCAGGCCAAGAGCATCCTAGTTCATCCTGCTCTCCCAGGCCCAGCCCGGTTGGTGGGGATAAAAGTCTCGTGCTGGAGCCCCAGGGCAGGAACTCACTCACCTCATCTGACTGTCCATCTGTCTGAAGCTACTGAGACCATCTGTCCTGACCATGTCCAGGGTGCCATTTGGTGCTCGTGGGGGCTTCAGTGCCCGGTCTGCTTGCTCTGCCAGGATGGGGAACTGGGGTAGAGGTGGCATCTGGGGAGCAAAGACAGCTGGTGGCTTCAGCAGCAAAAGCCTTTGTTCCACGAGAGAGGCCAGAAGCATCTCTGGCTGGGGAAGGAAAAACTGGGGGTCAGGGGGCAGATTAGGGGGGAAGTTTGGGCAGGGTGGGGTAGGGGCTGGTCTTTGTCCCCCAGGAGGCATCCAAGAGGTCACCATCAATCAGAATCTCCTGAGTCCTCTCAAGATTGAGATTGACCCCCAGTTCCAAACCGTGCGGACTCAGGAAATCCAGCAGATCAGAGCCCTCAACAACCAGTTTGCCTCCTTCATTGACAAGGTGAGGGTCATTACATCCAATCCCCTATAGCTGCACCTTCACCAGAGAGACAGTTTCTGGTCCTAGGCTTAGAGGAGAGGGGGGTTCTGGCTTCTCTCCATGACCTGTCCAATCATCTTTCAAAGTCAGAAAATCCCCTCCCCCCAAACCTAGCTGTTATGTCCCCCAACGTCCTTAGAAGCCATTTTATCTTGTTGGACACTTCAGGGGAGGGCTGTGGGGGTTGTTGGTTAAACAGAATTAGTCAATACTAGGATGTGCTACTTCTACTAACCCTTCAGAAGACTCTAATATTCCCTGAACTTGCCAAAGGGGAAGAAAGATCAAAATAGAGACTTGCTCTGTTTAATTAACAAGGGATGCTTCACTGGACTGACCAGTCACAGAATTATAGCATCTAAGGGCCTGTAGAGTTCACCTGATCCCAGAAAGTGAATTGCCCCAGGACCCTTAGCCAAGAAGTGGCAAACTTGAGTCTTTTGACTGTAGGGCCAGATATCTCCATCTCTGCTGTCTATTTTCAATTCTGAGGCTTTTTTGGAGGCCTCTACACTTGACTTTGGAGAAGTTTCAAGATCCTTCTGTTTGTGCATCAGGTTCAGTTTCTGGAACAGCAGAACAAAGTGCTGGAAACCAAGTGGCAGCTTTTGCAGGACCAGAAGGAGGGGATGGGAGGCCATCTCCAAACCATGGACCCCATCTTTGAGGCCTATATAGCCAGGCTGAGGAGGCGACTAGAGCAACTCCAGGGGGAACATGGGGCACTGGCCTTGGAACTGAAGACTTGTCAGGAGCAGGAGGAGGATTATAAAACCAAGTAGGAAAAAGCAACTCCCTCCCCCACCAAATCTTCTTTACCCGAGGGCCCTAAGGAGATGGGCAGAAGGAAAGGATCATAACAGGGCCTAGGAAGTTCAGGGATCTTCTGGATCGACTTCCTGATTTTACAAAGGAAGACATTGAAATAGAAAGTAGCCAAGTCAAGATTTGAACCCAGCTCACCTAGTTCTAGGGCAGTTGGGTGGGGCAGTGGATAGAGTGCTGGGCCTGAAGTCAGGAAGACTCATCTTCATAAGTTCAAGTCTGGCTTCAGACACTTATTGACTGTGTGACCCTAGGCAAGTCACTTAACCCTGTTTGCCTCAGTTTCCTTGTCTGTGAAATAAGTTGGAGAAGGAAATGGTAAACCACTCTAATATCTTTGCCGAGAAAACCCTAAATGGGGTCACGAAGAGTTGGATATGACTGAAATGACTAAACAAACAGTTTAGTTCTAAGATCTATGCTTTTTCCACAATACCTGGCTGCCTCTCCCAATAGTTCAGTGAGCTCAGGAAATTCCTGTTCAGCTGCTGTGAGTCAGTGGAGTTCGGATTCTGACCATTTGGTTGTCAGGACCAGAGGAGGAAGGATCGCTGGGGCCTTCCTTAACCTCTGGCTTCATTCATGACCCTGCTAGAATTTCAGATCCCTGGCTTGATTTCCCTCTTTAAGGGAAAAGGGGCAGAGCTGACAAGAGGGCCTTAGATTCAGCATGAGGAAGTAGCTACTTCAAGGGAAAGATAGAAAACTTCTGAAAAGGGGTATGGAACCTTCTGTTCTGCAGAGTTTAAAGACATGGGATCGGGGGAGGAAGAGAGGATTGTATCAGGGCAGTCTAGTTTAGAGGCGGGGGAATGGATAGGATGGCCTCTGGGGTACCTCAGTCTGTGTCTTCTCATTTGAAAGGTATGAACAGGAGGCCCACAAACGTGCCACAGCTGAGAATGACCTTATGGTCTTCAAGAAGGTGAGAAAGGCCCAATGTTATTTTCTCTCCCTCTGATGATGATGATGATGATGATTATAAATAATAATAAAAATAATAACAACTTACATTTCTATAGTGCTTCCTATGTGCTAGACATTGTGCTAAGCACTTTACTAATGTTATTTCATTTGATTCTCATAAGGTAGGTGCTATTATTATCTCAATTTTACAGATGAGAGAACTGAGGCAGACAGAAGTTAAGTGACTTGCCCAGAGTCACACAGATATTACATGCCTGAGTTTTAATCTGATCTTGAGTGCTGCCTCTAAAGGAACTCCCAGGCTACTGGGGGAAACAGGACACACAGTCCTGGACATACACACTCACACATATACACATACACAGAGCTGGGAGCTACTGATGAGGTATGTAGATATTAGTTCTAGAAGAAGAGGGGAGGAATTATCTAAGAAGAGTTGCCTGGGATTAATCAAAGAAGGCTTCCAGGAAGAGGAGAGTATAAGTCATTGTTGTGAAAAAGTGGTGTCCTGTGCCCAATCCCAATGTTTTCCTCTATAGTTAGGCAAAGAGTATGAGAGAAGGTTTTGTAGACCGGGGATAGGTCTAGAGTCTAGGATAGAAAAGGGTGGTGATCTAGCCAGTTGGTCTGAGCTAGAAAAAAGGATATGGGCAGCAGTTAGCTGAGTTCTCTTGCCTCCATTTTCCCCTAGGACGTAGATAACATCTACATGAGCAAGATGGAACTACAAGGCCGGGTGGATACTCTTCAAGAAAGGATCAACTTTTTGAAAAGTGTGTTCGAGGAAGTGAGTATTATGTCAAGTCTCTGTTGAAGACCCAAGGAGGGGGATGGGGGTGGGCCAATGGAGTGGGGCAGGGATGGTTTCTGTTACCATATTTCTAATTGGCCAGGAAGTGTACCCCTGTTAGGCAAATCTGCATATTATTCCTGTCAAAACACCCCTTCCCTGGACCAAAATCCCTCCAGACTCTATTGCTTCAGAACCCTCCCATCCAGTCTTTTCTCCAAACTTCTGTGCCCCAGGCCCCAGTTTTCCCCACCATATGTTTATCCCTTCATAACCTTCCTCTATCCCTTCCTCATCCTCCTCAGTCTCCAGTAGGCTAGACCCTAGTCATGTCCCTTCTTTCCCAAGTTTCCTCTCAACTTCTGGCCTATTCCCCTGGAGGCTGTCTCCCCACCTTGTGTCCTTCTAGCACCTGCCTCTCTACCCCTTCCTCTTCCCTTCAGTACCTCTAACCATTCCCTGTCCCTCTACCCAAGGGCTCTTCAACCCTTCCCCCTTTCTTAGTATCTCACCAGCTCCCCTTCCCCACTTCTGTCCCAGTGTCTCCTCCCAACCCCCATCCTCTTCCAGAAGTAGCTAGATGAAGCACTGGACCTGGAGTCAAGAAGACTTGAGTTCAAATCTGGCCTCAGACATTAGCCATGTATCCCTGGGCAAGTCATTTAATCTTTATCTGCCTCAGTTCCCTTAATTATAAAAAGGGGATAATAATAGAACTTACCTCTCAAGATTGCAGTAAGGTTCAATGTTCGTGAAGCACTTAGCACAGTGCCTGCCCAGTACATAGTAGGCTCTTAATACATGCTTCTTTCCTTCCCTCCCCCCTTCTATTGTCCTAGCTTATAGCTATCTCCTCTACTGCCACCTAAGCTTCTGTTTCTTTTTCTATCTGTGCCATCCTCCTACAGTGGCTCATCAGCCCCTAGTGCTCTCTTCTCAATTTTCCCAGCAGCCTCTACTTGGCCCCTTGGGATCCTCACTCCTTTCTCTGGTCTTTTTTTTTTTTTTTAAAGTTAGGCAGTGGGGTTAAGTAACTTGCCCAGGGTCACACAGCTAGTAAGTGTTACTGGTCTGAGGCCGGATTTGAACTCAGGTCCTCCTGAATCCAGGGCCAGTGCTCTATCCACTGCGCCACTTAGCTGCCCTTTCTTTGGTGTTTAATGACTGGTCTAGTCTGACAACCTCTCCCTGCTCAGCTCCTGGTTGGGCCCTGCTGTGACGTACCCTCAGTGGTGATTCTGAGCACTGACTCTAAGATCTTATCAGCCTGGAGGCTCAAAAGGAATTGGGGCTCTAGAGTTCCTGGAGTGGAGGGACCTGGGCTCCGGATAATACTTTCTCTCCTATAGGAGATCGATTACTTCCAGACTCATGTCAACGACACCTCAGTGGTTGTTTCCATGGACAATAACCGATATCTGGACCTGGGCAGTATCATTTCAGATGTCCGAGCCCAGTATGAGATTATTATGCAGAAGAGCAAAGCAGAGGCTGAAGCCATGTACCACACTAAGGTCTTTGTCCTGACATTGTCTGTTCTTCCATCCATTCACACTCCACAGTTCCTACCTAGAGGTCATCCAAACTTTTTCCCAGTCATCTGGCCTTTACTGTCAGGAAGGATTCTGGGAGTTTGGTTTCTGGATATATTCTGTGTGATATCATTCTGCTACTGAGTGGGGTTGGGGAGGGATAGGGTGCCATTGTCTCCAAGGTTTGTGATGAAGAAGGGAAATGGATGATCTTCAATGTCCCCTAAATATCTACCCATTAAGGAAACTCAATCTTTGAATGCACATTCTTGTATCTCCTGGAGGGGGGAATTGAAGTCTTAACCTAAATCCATTAATGGGTATCATGGGCATGGACATGATGAGAAGTAGGTGCAAAGGGGGTCCAGGGTGCTCGGGGTCAAAGGTGATCTTGGGGGGTCACCATCAAGGGATGGGGCCAACCAGTGAGTGATAGTGTCACCTCTGGCTCTCTTATCAGTATCAGGAACTTCGAATTTCTGCCGAGAAACATGGAGACAGCATGAGAGACACTAAGATCCAAATTACTGAACTGACCCAAGCAATTCAGAAACTTCAAAATCAAATTGAGAATGTCAAGAAGCAGGTGGGTTCTTCTGTGTTCCCTAGCCCCTTTCCTTCTCCTTCAGTATCTCCCTCCAGGTGCTGTCTTTTGTGTCCCTAAAACCTACCCTCTCCAACTCCTGCTTCTCTCTCCATTGTCCCCCAAATGAGAGGACCCAACCCTCAATTAGTAATGAGTATAAGCAAAGAAATTAAGTTCTTTTCCTTGGTATATTAGTTAGGGGTATAATTTTGTGGCTAGAGAATCATACCCTTACCTGTGGGTGCTCTCTGCCCAAAGGAATATAAATTTTGATCTCTGAAACCTCCAAGATATCTTGGGGTTTACAGGTTAAATTTCTTTTTTCTTTTACCTACTTATTTGTTCTATCTTAAAAAAAACTGGGACAGTTAACTAGTTTGCCCCATGCCCCCAAATCATTTATTATTTCTTGAAATAGAGCATTGGAAAACCAGGCTTTGATAAAGCCCATTGGGATTCAAATGGAGTTACTTGACCATACTTTAAACCCAAATCACTCTGGCTTTCATCGATTGGCCAATAACAGGTCCCAGCCCAAGCCTCACTTGGTCATAGTTTGGGTTTTGCTGGCTCAGAGTGAGTGTAATAGCAATTGTTTTGGTTATGGCCAGAAACCCTCAGGGTCTTCCCCTCCCAGATTGATTTTTCTTTTTTTTGACTAGGTAAAAGAGGCCATCTTTTGCCTCATTTCTTACCTAGCCTTAATCACTGAATGGGTGTTGCCTCAGACAAACTGAGACCTGGAAAAGACCTTAGCTTAAAAAGGCCTAGGTCTTTCATTGCATTGGGGCCATCTCCAGTCATGCTAATCTGTATCTTGCCACTGGATCAAGATGGCTGCAGAGGAGAAAGTTAGGCTGGTGACTTTGCATAGCTCTCCTTCACTTATCCTCCTTCCTGATGTAATTGGTCCAAAGGACAAACAACAACAATTATGTGGCAAGGAGATCCCAAGACAATTTTGCGCTTCTTCCTTGATACTCAAATAATTGCTTAATACTCCTAGGTAAGGGACTGATGATGGCTATTAACATGGTCACCTCTTTGCTTTCTTAACTCCTTTGTTGTTAGTTTTGAAATTTCTATGGATTTATCCATTTTAGCAAGAACTTCAAGGGAAGGTATTTTAAATCATAATAGTCAATTCTTTCATCCCACCCTAGAGAAAGTGTAAAATAGTGAAGGTCCAGAGGTAGAGAGTAAAAGAGACAAAAAATAGCTGTACTTAGGTGGGTGTTTTGCATCAGTCCCAGAGGTGATGCTTTTCATTGTTTGTGTGTGTGTGTGTGTGTGTGTGTGTGTGTGTGTGTGTACAGAGAGGAGTAGAGCCAGAAAATAGGATGGGGCTTACAGGGTAGTTTCATGACTTGTTACAAAGGCTTATGAATTCCCAGGATATCAGCTCAGAATTTTTCCTTTCCCCCTTGCCAAGTTATTCTTTAAATCATCCCAGTTTGGGCTACAAGCCACCTCTGAATTCTCAGACAGTCAGCTCTCGAATATCCACCCTGATGGAGAGGCACAGTGCCACAGAAATCCCAAATACTGGATAATGCTGAAATTCTTCAGTGTGTCTTTAGGATGCAGCTTTGGGTCCTGCCATGTTCACATGGCAGAGAATCTGTGCATTCAATTAATCAGTCGAATACTGATTGGGTATGGACTTCGTGTCTTGTTCTGCTCTGATAATCTGAGAATTCACCGTAATAACACCTCACATTTCTGTAGCACCTTATGATTTATAAAGTACATTCCTTATAACAACCCTTTGAGGCTTATCATGTGGGTGTTCTGATCACTCCTACTTCAGAAGAATATCAGGGGTCAGAGAGCTAAAGTCATGCACCCAAGATCACCTAGCTAGAAAGTGGCAGAACTGAGATTTGCACTTAAGGCCCCTGAGGATCAGTCTAATGCACTCACTTTCATTGGATTCCCTGAGGCTCCCTTCTTCTCTAATGATGAAGGTCCCTACCCACTCAGAAGGAGCTAGAAAGTTGCTAGGCTTTTCTCCCTGACAAAAAATGAGATAAAGTGGAAGAAATTAATTGAGGTCTCTGATCTTGGAATTCACTGCTCCCATGAGGAAAGGGAAATCGGAACACACCTAATTTATCTCCAAGTCCACTGTGGGCTGAGGGAAGTGTCCTGTGATGGGGCTAGTATAGCCAATGCTTTTCCTCTCTCAGAATGCCACAATCCAGTCGGCCATCACTGATGCTGAACAACGTGGAGAACAGGCCGTCAAGGATGCCCAGGTCAAGGTGGTGGACTTAGAGGGTGCACTTAAGAAAGCTAAGCAAGATATGGCAAGCCTGCTCCGAGACTACCAGGAGCTGATAAGCACCAAGCTGGCCCTGGACGTGGAAATAGCCACCTACAGGAGACTACTGGAGGGCGAGGAGTGCAGGTGACTGCTGGGGCCTTGAGGACCCTGGGATGATCCGAACACCAATGCTATATCTAATAGAGAAACTTCCAACAAAATACTTACCCTCATACCCTGGGTTATTTCTCTACTTTGAGTCTCTATCCAGATCTACCAAGAGGGATTATGGGGACTGGGAATTCTGTTTGCCCTGTGGGTTGGTTGCCTTTAGAGAGACCTCAGAGCCCCAGAGGGATGGATCCAGTGGATCTGGACTGAGATTTTTCTCCTCTTGTCCTTTTTCCAACAGGATGTCTGGGGAATATATCAACAATGTCAGCATTTGTGAGTCCTGGTTGGCTTCTGGGAGGGAGTAGGTGGTTTGGTATTGCTCTGGCCTCTAAGGGGAGGCAAAAAAGAAGTGCCAATATTATTAACAGGTGCACCTTTCTTTGTAGCAATGTTTGGTGGAGGTACCACTGGCTCTGGAGGATGTGGGAACTCAGAATTCGGCTGCTCCAGTGTCGTGGTTGGAGGCTCCCGCTTTGTCAAAGGCCCTGGTTCTGGCTTCATCTCTGCCTCTGGTTCTGGCTTTTCCAAATCCAGTTCAGGTTCTGTCACTGGCACCATCTTGAAGAAGACAACCATGTCAACTTTGAAGACTATCACATACTGAATCACATACTGGGGTGGATCCCCAAAGGCAAACCCTTTAATGGCCCAGACAGGGTTCCACAATCCAGAGCTTTCCCTCCTCAATCAACTTGGTCCCTTTCGTGTTCCCTCCAATACACATAGACCCAGACATTGATTAATGCTTTTTCTTTCTCGCAAACAATAGAAGCTCACATTTTTATAGTTTCACTTTCCTCACAATGTTTCCATGAGTCTTGTAGTGCAAATATTGTTAAACCTACTTTAATGATGAGGAAAAGGATGATTAGAGATTTTACTGATTTATGTACAGTCACATGACTACTAAAAGCCAGAACTAGGACTGGAGCTGTGCTCTTCTGAGTGACTGCCTAACAGAGTGGAGAGAACACTGGATTTGGAGGATTTGAGTTCAAATCTTGGCTCTGTCACTTACTAGATGTGTGACCTTGGCCAAATTTTCTAACCTCTCTGGGCTTCAGCTTCGTCATCTAGAAAATGAAAGGGTTAGACTAGATAATGGCCCTAGTCTCTTCCATCTCTAAATTCTATGATACCACAACTCTAAATGCAAGGGTCTAAGGTTCTGGAACAACAATAAAGTTCATTTGTTTTCCACTCCTGAAAATTTGCTTGGTCTTTTTTTTTTTTGTTGAGAATTTTGAGGTCTTGGGGAAGGGAGAGGTATTGTTGTACATTGCAAAGTACTCTTACTCTGAGAACTGGGGTTCAAATCCAGCTTTTGACAGTTGTTAGCTGTACAACCTTGGACAGCTGGGTCATAGTTTTCTCATGTGCAAAATGGCCTCTATGGTCACTTCTAGATCTAAATCTAGGTTCTTATGAGTTTCTCCCCCAGTTCTCAGCTCAGGGGTTCTCCTCATTTATGCATTTATTTTCTTTGCCTGGACTCCCTTCCTTCTTCCCTTAGGGCTTCATATCCAAATGCAAAGAAGACTCTACCCAGTCCATGATCTTTTCCTATTATGTTAGATTAAGTTAGTCTAGCCTGAAAAAAATTACTGCCTAGGCCCAGACAGAGTCTAGTCTAGACCCAACCATAGAAATGGAAGGAATAAATGAGGGGAAACCATATGGTCCCACTGACAGACAGCTGGTGGTACAGTGGATAGATTGGTGGGCCTGGAGTCAAGAAGACCCAAGTTCAAATCCAGCCTCAGATACTTACTAGCTGTGTGATCCTGAGCAAGTCATTTAACCTCTGTTTGTCTCAGTTTCCTCAACTGCAAAATGAAGATAATAATAACACCTTCCTCCCAGGGTTGTTTTAAGGATCAAATGAGCTATTTGTAAAGCATTTAGCACAGTGCCTGGCTCCTAGTATGTACTAGATAAATGCTTAATCCTTTCATCTTCTCTTTCAAGACTAAGAGTAAAGAGAATTAGATTCGTTTCAGATTTCCACTCCTCCCTCATTGTGTGACTTTGGAGGACATTGCTTTAACTTCCTGGGTGTCCATTTCTCTGCTTCTTTGAGGAGAAGCAGTATCTGATGACTCTTGTGGACTCTCTTATCTCCTTGTCTGCCTCTGGCATCTATCCTCCAACTTTAAGCTGTTCTTAGCTTGGAAATGACCTTATGGATGTCTCCCTTCCCTATTGTGAAACTGAATAGTAGCTCCACTTGCCTCTTGTGACAAATTTATGGTCTTCAGCCAGGTGAACTGTCTCTCTCTCTCTTTCTCTCTCTTGTCTCTCTCTGTCTATATCTCTCCCTTTCTCTCTCCGTGTCTCTCTCTCTCCTCTCTCTTGCTCTTTTCTCTCTGTCTCTCCTCTTTCTCTATCTTTCCTGTCTCTCCCTCCTCTGTCTTCTCTCTCCTCCCTTCCCCACCCCTCAAATCTCAACTACTTGTTGAGTTGTATTCTTCCCTTGTAGCAAAGAAAAACAAAACTAACCAACAAAGCAACCACATCTGACAGCATATGCAACATTCTTCACTGCTAGTTTTCTGCCTTTATGTCTCATCTTGTTCTCTAGGACCAAGATTAGTCATTGAAATTTATTTGAGTTCAATTGCCTTTTTGTTTACATTATTATAGTCACTGTGAGTATTGTTATTTTGGTTTTGCATAATTTCATAAACATCTTCTAATTGTAACTTATAAATAGAATACCTCAAGATTCTAGGTTCACATAAACTGAGTTAAATACTGGACGCTGACCCAATGAAGGTCTTCCCCTTTCTTTGGCTCACTGCCCCAACCTGGAGATGTTCTAGGAAAGACTCCCAGTATACTCAGGGTAGAACTCATGTCTAGACTTTTCAAATGTGGCCATCAGGGTACCCAGCTCCAAAATAAGCTCTCAGAGTGAAAAATGCACATTGGATAAAAGACAGTCCTCACTTTACCCCAGAGAAAATGGGGAAGATGCAAAGAACTCCCTGGAGCACACAGATACAGAAAATACATATAGCACATTAGTTCTCCTCAGGGGTATGTTGGTAAATATCTAACAGTCAGGTCTCCTAAAAGGCACAACATACCTTCAATTTTAATCTGCATTATTAATATTTTATTAATCACTTTCTTACACCTAATTAATTAACAAAATAATAAATCGAGTCTTGATTTGTAGTGTTTGCTGATATCTAAAGTGTAAATGCTCACACTGAAAATTTAACAATTAGCTCACATTCGTCAGTTAAGAATTGGCTCCAGCACACTCCTTTTTGAAAGATAGAACTTAGAGTTACCATCAGGGCAACTCTTTGACATTTTAGTGTTGCTCTTTTCCCCAAAGTTCCAAACATTCTCCCTAAGACTCGTAGTACCACCTTGTGGTTTAGACTGCCTCTAGAAGGTGGATGTATTTTGGGGGCTGTGTAAAAGTAATCCCTTTTTCAACAGACCTTCACTGTCTTAGTAACTCGCTGTCTTTGCTCTCCCAATAAACAGGAACTATGTATACTATCTTTTTTTTCTTTTCTTCAAGGAGCATCAAGAAATTCCCTTCTCTCTCTAGAATGTCCAATCTATAACATGGGTTGAACTTGTGAACTTGGGAACTCTTGAATTTGGGATCACTTGCAAAATGTTACCAAGGAACGTTGGTAACTTCTGGTTAGAGGACTGGATTCTGAGACTCTGCTGCCTAGAGAATCCTCCTTCTCCAAAGAAGTGGGGGTTCATGAACATTAGACATGACCAACCCTCTTGCACCAAGTTGGCATACTGAATATTGCCACGTTCTTCTGCTACAAATCTATCAGTGACCCAGCTGCTGCTGTCTCTTGAGCTGGGAATGTTGACTCTCTGGATCTCTCCTTTTAGGCCGACGGCAAGCGCGTAACAACCTCTGCCAAGTTGACACTGACTGTTTCTGTCGGGGAGGAAATTGTAGTGGGGCACAGGTTCTTTTAAGTGGGGTCCCAAGACTGAAAGTCAATCCCCCACCCACAAGTGAGAAATTAAACCATTCTGGATTGATTTTTTTCCCCCAATGGATCCCTGCAGTACACAGGGAAACCCAAAATAGAATTCCCAGATAAAAGTTTCATCAATGGATCCTGGAAGTACATGTGAAAATCCAAATGTAAATCCCAGATAAAGTTAGGATTGATGAGAAATCAACATTTTATCTTTTGGAGAAAATTAATTGGTCAAACTTTCCCTTCCAAAAGGGAAAAATTGATATTTCTAGATCATCAGGAAACCTCCTTCATAGGAATCTTTAAGGATGACTGACAAGCTTCTTATATTTATTCCAAGACAGGGCAAACCATTGAGATCTATAAACAAAGAAATAAAAAGTCACCTGCAACAAAGTGATTAGATACTTGGTACCTATTGGAAATCAATCCTTTGCACACTAGTTGAACCCCAAGATGTTACATGTGGCTCAGGGTCCTGGATTCTTCATCTTTATAATTTCTTATAAGAATGTTCCATTACACTAATATAATAATCTGTCCATCCATTCTCCAATCAAAGAGCACTCACTATGTTTCCAGTTTTTAGTTCCCACAAATAGTGCTTCTATGAATAATCATTACTTACAGGACCTTTATTTCTATCACTGACCTCCTTTTTATATTAATTTATTTTGATATATCAGCAATCACTTCCATATGCTTTTGAGCTTAAAATTTTTCTCCCTTTTCCTTCCCACCACCCTCCCCAAGACAGCGCACAATCTGATATAGGCTATACATTTACATTCACATTAAACATATTTTCACATTAGTGATGTTGTAAGTAAAAATTAAAACCAATAGAAGGAACCATCAGAAAGAGGAAACAAAACTCAATAGAAGAGAAAAAAATAGCAATTCAAATTCCATAGTTCTTTCTTTGGATGTGGATAGTATTTTCCATCACAAGGCTTCTGGAGATGTCTTAGATCCTCGTATTGCCGGAAAGGGTTAAGTTTATCAATATTAGTCATCGCACAACGTGGCTGTTACTGTGTACAATGTTCTCTTGGTTCTGCTCACTTCACTTAGCATTAGACCATACAAGTCTTTCCAGGTTTTTCTGAAGTCAGCCTGTTCATCATTTCTTATAGCAAAATAGTATTCCATCACATTCATATACCACAACTTGCTCAGCCATTCCCCAATTGATGGGCATCCCCTCAATTTCCAATTCTTTTCCACCACAAAAAAGAGCTGCTATGAATATTTTTGTACATGTGGGTCCTTTTCCCATTTGTATGATCTCTTTGGGATATAGCCCTAGAAGTGCTATTGCTGGGTTAAAGGGTATGCACATTTTTATAGCTCTTTGGGCATAGTTCCAAATTGCTCTCCAAAATGGTTGGATCATTTCACAACTCCACCAACAATGCATTAGTGTTCCAATTTTCCCACATCTTCTCCAACATTTATCATTTTCCTGTTTTGTCATGTTGACCACTCTGATAAGTGTGATGTGGTACCTCAGAGCTGTTTTGATTTGCATTTCTCTAATCAATAGTGATTTAGAGTATTTTTTCATTTGACTATAGATGGCTTTAATTTCTTCATCTGAGAACTGTGTTCATATCTTTTGACCATTTATCAATTGGGGAACGACTTGAATTCTTATAAATTTGACTTAATTCTCTATGTAGTTTAGAAATGAGGCCCTTATCAGAGAGACTGGTTGTAAAAATTCTTTCCCAATTTTCTACCTTTCTTCTAATCTTAGTTGTATTGTTTTTGTTTGTGCAAAAACTTTTCAATTTAATGTAATCAGAATTATCCATTTTGCTTTTCATAATGTTCTTTATTTCCTGTTTGGTCACGAATTCTTCTGTTCTCCATAGATCTAACAGGTAAACTATTCCTTGCTCTCCCAGTTTGCTTATAGTATCAGCCTTTATATCTAAATCATGAACCCATTTTGACTTTATTTTGGTATACGGTGTGAGATTTTGGTCTATGCCTAGTTTTTGCCATACTCATTTCCAGTTTTCCCAGCAGTTTTTTTCAAAGAGTGGGTTCTT